AGAAGTGTAGTGATTCCTAAAAGAACTGAAAATTGATCTTCTATATGATCCAGTAATCCCACTCCTGAGAATATAGACAGAGGAATATAAATCACTCTACCAAAAATATCCTTCACATACATATTTATTGCTGCACTAGTCACAATAGCAAAAACATGGAACCAACCCTGCTGCCCATTGAAAGTGGACTGAATAAAGAAAACGTGTTACATGTACATAATGGAGTATTATGCAACCATAAAGAAGAACAAAATCGTGGACTTTGTGGCAACTTGGATGCAGTTAGAGACAGTTATACTAAGTGAACGATCACAGAAACAATTAAGTAAGTACTGCATGTTCTCAGTCATAAGTGGACCCTGATCACTAGTCACATTAGCACAAGGGTGGGATCGGCAGTCACTGGGCACTTCTAGGGTAGGGACGGAGGAAGAAGTATGGGGCATGTGACCATACAAAGGGTACTTGGTCCACTACCAGGGGGAGTGAGAGCTGCCTAGAAGTTCAGACTTCACCTGCATGCAGCCTACTTGTGTAGTAAGTCCTCACTTGCACCCTACAACTCTGTAATAAATAAATACATTTTCAAAAAGAACAACAACAACAAAAAGAAAAAATCAAAAATCTTTGAGAAGGAGAGTAAATTTATTAATCCAAAATATGACTACACATTTGCTGTTAAAATACTGTTTTGGCTTTGGTTCCTCATTCATGGCTTATTTAATATATAAGTTGAGAGGATGTTGGTAATCATCAACTGATATCATAATACAAAAAAATCTAGTTAAATTTAATTAAGTCTCTTATTTTCTGCGATATAGAACTGGAATACTATGGAGTGGTTTCCAGGGAAACTTTAAATTTAAATAGAAATCCTAAAGATTCATAATACGCAGACCTCAAAAACTTTTCACCAGGAGCTAAAATAAAAAAAATGAGAAACATGGAACTTCTTATGTTACTTAAATATAAGCTTTTTACCTCACCTGAGGAAAGACACATGTGAAAGTGTTCAGGAAACACCTGCATATTTAGAAATGTGGTTATGGAAAAACATAGGGGAAATGATATAGGTTTTTGATTCAGTTGGACCAGGGTTAGTATCCCAGCTCTGCCATTTACTAACTGTATGACTTTGGACAAGTTACTAAGTATCTTTTTTCAGAACCCCCAAGTAAGTGGGGAATATAGCTACCTTTAAATAGTATAATGCATGTCAAAATGTCTAACACAGTGCCCAATGTATTGTAGATATTAAAAAAATAGTAGTTTATCTTCCTCTGTTTTCCTTTAAGTCCATACAAATGAACAAGGCAGGTTTTGTCATGACAATCTCAGATTTCAGTGTATCTTTCCAGGTTCTAGATGCAGGTATGTCCATGTGGGGCTCTCTGTGAGATGATGAGCTCTTCTAAGAAAACAAGGAAACGTGGGTAGTCCTCCTGTGCCCTGGTAAAGAGCATCTCTTTATTTTGGAGTAAACATGCATCTCTCTCCAAGGCAGAATGTAATCCCAAATGCTTTAGGGGAGGTTGGGGATTGAGGTCAGTGAATTTACATTAGTGGAGATCAGATGGCACCTCCCTGAAAGAGAGAGCACTGTACAACCTCAGATGTAGAAGCCAGGAGTGGAGGGAAGAGCAGAGGGAAAGGGATCTGATACAGGCAAAGTATCCCTGTGAGATTCCTGTATCCCTGTGAGAGCTCATGCTGCTGGTCACTGTGCCTGGGAAAGAGCACTCTACTGGAGTTGCAGAAATTGGGGGAAAAAGACAAAGTGGAGAAGTTGATTGAATAGTGACTGGCATGATTTGTCTTTGCCTAAATCATAGGCAATTGGGAGATGAGGACACACTGTCAAATGTATGGGACATTATTGTCTTTGCATTCAGCACTTCAAGATTCAACTTCAGCTTAAGGAAGTTTTTTTTTTTTTAATTTGCTTGTTTTTAAGTGGTCCTAGCTTTGTTATGTTTGGGTCTTAACCTGGCTGACAACTTAAAGGAAGGGAGGACATTGGGCTCTTCCTTACATTTTCTCTGGCATTGTTTTGTAACCAAATTTGTATTTTGCAGAGTCAGAAAGAAATGCTAAGTGGCAGACTATGTATTGACAAATGCCTCTTTGTGTTTGATGGGGAAGGGTGGGTAGGAAGTTTCAAGGCAACTTAGATATCATTCTTTTGAAGTTAGAATTTATTCTCAGGGCAATTGGGAGCCATTGAATGTTTTTTACATTCCACTGTAAAAAGTAGCTCTTTTGAATGCAAGTAGAAATTTTTCTATGGCTACTGTAACAAATTATCATGGGCAGCCTAAAACAACACAAATGCATTACATTACAGTACTATAGGTCAGAAACTTGACAAAGATTTTACTGGGCTAAAATTAAGGCATCAACAGAGTTGTCCTCCTTTCTGAGAATAATCCATTTTCTTGCTCATTCAGATTGTTCACAGGATTCAGTTCAATTCAGTACAGAATTTAGTACAATTGTTTTTACAAGACTAAAGTCCCCAATTTTGTTGTTGCTAGCTGTCAGCCCTTACCAACTTCTAGAGATTGGTCAGATTGATGACTTTGTGGCTGCCTTTCTCTCTTTTCAAAACCTGCCATGGCCGGTCAGTTCCTTCTTACACTTTGAATCTCCCCTGTCTTGCGTTCTGTTGTTGCATCTCTCCAATCAAATCTCCTGCCTTCCTTTTCTTTTCTTTTAAAGATTTGCAATACAATTCAGAATTAAGTGTATAAGTGGTTGTCACTTTGGTGCCCACTTTGCCTGGTTTGAGATCAGGTACCCCTATTGAGATCAGGGATTGCTTCCCCCTACCCCTGGCAGTGTCCTACTACTGCCAGTTCCTTTCTTTTAGTATTATGGTAAATGTTCAGGGTCCGCTTATGAGTGAGACCATGTGGTACTCAGTACTTTGTTTTTGAGATAAATTACTGAGTATTATAGCCTCTAAATTCATCCAAGTTGCTGTGAAGTTCATAATTTTGTTTTTCTTTATGGTTGCATTATATTCCATTGTGTATATGTAACACTTTTTAAAAAAAATCCAGTCCAGTTTCTATAGGCAGCATGGGTGGTTCCATTTTTTGCTATTGTGAATATTGCTACAATAAACATGAGTTTGCTGGTGTCTTTTTTGTAGAGTGATTTAAGTTTCTCCAGGTATATTCCCAGAGGGGGGATTACTGAGTTGTATGGAAAGTCAGTTTCTAGTTCTTTTAGGAATCACCACACTGTTTTCCATAGAGGTTGAACTAGTTTGCATGCCCACCAACAGTGTAGAGACATTCCCTTTTCTCTGCATCCTCGCCAGCATCTGTGTTTTGTTTTATTAATGATGGTCATTTGTTGTATCTCAATGTGGTTTTGATTTTCATTTCTCTGATGATTAGTGAGGTTGAGCAGTTTTTCATGTATCTGTTGACTGCTCGTATGTCTTTTGGGAAGTGTCTATTCATGTATTTTGCCCACTTTTTAATGGGGCTATTTGTTCACACTGGACTCACCAGATAGTCTAGAATAATCTCCCAATGTCAAGGTTAATAACATAATCATATTTGATTATATTATATTCATGGGATTAGAGTATGGACATTTTTGCAGGGTTATTATTCTGCCTACTACAAAACTCATTACAGATTGTATTTTAAATTATGAGAGTGGAAAATATTACCCAAGGTTAATGTACAGTTATTTCTTAAGTCTTCACTTGCTGGGAGATTATTTTACTTATTCTTGTCCTGTATGTTCCAGTCTCTTGCGTATCCAGAATTCTATCACTGCCAGATTTGGGTTATTTGGAGAGGAACTTTTCTTAGTCTGAGCTGCTATAACAGAATACCCTATACTGTTCCCAGTATCCCTGGGAACAGTATAGGTTTTATACACATATTTATACACATATTTATACACATCCCAGTATCCACACTGGGATGTGTATAAATAGCAAAAAATGTATTTCTCATAGTTCTGGAGGCTGAGAATTTCAACGTCAAGGAGCCAGCAGATTCAGTGTCTGGTGAAGGGCTATTTCCTGGTTCATTGATTGCTATCTTCTTGCTGTAACTTCACATGGCAGGAGGTGGAAGAGAGCTCTCTGGGCTCTCTTTTATAAGGTATTAATCCCATTCATGAATTAATCACCTCCCAAAGTCCCCATCTCCAAATTCCATCACTTTGGGGATTAGGTTTCAACATACGGATTTTGATGGAGGACACAAACATTTAGTGTGTACCGATACTTCACCAATTTCTCAAGCAGAGGATTGGTGCCTGCTTTTCTGCCTTTGTTAGGGCCATCTATCTGTGGCTAAGCCCAAATTCTGCCCTTCACCTCATCTCAGTCATCTCAGCCTCTCAAACTTTGCTGCTGTCCTGGGATCATACCCTCTTTGGATCTAGATGATATCTTCACTTGCTCTGGAACTGCCAGACTCCCTTTTGGACTTGACTGGTGGTTGCTGAACCAGTCCTGAAGTTTTATTTTTTACTTTTCACTGTTCCCCTGGCTCTCTCTCTCTCTCTCTCTCTCTCTTTCTGCATTACTGCAATCTAAGTAGCTAAGGCATGACTTTTCTTAGAGCTTATTCCAGTACCTAAGATCTTAGCCACAAATGAGAGCTTCAAGCCCTTTGGATGATAAGAGAGATAGCAGAGAAATAGCCAAAATCTGTTGTGATGCCATACACTCCCCTATAACATTGAGGCTAAGAGCACAGGATGTACAATCTGACAATTTGGAGTTCCATTCTAGGCTCTAATAGCCACTTGCTATAGACCATGTGAAGTAACTTCTTTTAGCCTTAATCATATCATTTGTAAAGTGGGGATAAAAGACAACCTCAGAGGTATCTTATGAGCATTAAATTAGATATTGAATATAACCCAGAATAGTGTAGTAAGTGCTCGTTTCATGTTTTGTTCCTGGTTCTTCACATCACTGTAGGGTAAAGAGATACAAACAAGAAAGGCTTCTGGTATGCTATATCCAAAGGTTTTTATTTGGAGATTTTATTTTGAGCTAAGGGAACATGTTGGTTTGTGGAGTATTGGCTTGAGAACCAGTGGACTGCAGAGGGAGAAATAGGATCTCACTTGTCCTTAGTGTTGTTCTCAATCCAGGATATATATTTGTAAACATTTGTGTAGATGCCAACATCTCCTCCCATGAAGTGTCCAACTTCAATTCCTTGGAGCTTGTTTTTGCAGATGACAGTAGCAACGGCCACCTCCTAGCAGAGAGACATGCAAAGACACAGGGGCGGGAAGAGAAAGAGAGTCAGATCTCACAGGAACATCCAGCTTGGGTGAACCCTGCCTAGAGGCAGCAAGCTTGGGTATGAAAAGAGCACTGAATCGGAGGATAGCTTGGGTCCTTTTTTTTTGAGGTGGAGTCTCACTCTGTTGCCTAGGCTAGAGCACAGTGGCACACACACGGTCACTTCAGCGTTGACCTGCTGGGCTCCAGTGATCCTTCTGCCTCAGCCTTCCAAGCAGCTAGAACTACAGGTACACACTACCACGCCTGGCTAATTTTTTAGTTATTGTAGAGACAAGTTCTCGACAAGTAGCCTGGGGCTGGTCTCGAATCCACGGGCTCAGGCAATCCACTTGCCTTGGCCTCCCAAAGTGCTGGGATTACAGGCTGAGCCACCAAGCCCAACCTTGGGTCCTTTTTAAAGCTTAGCTGTAACTAGCCTCATGTGATCTTGAGAAAGGCAGAGAACAGCCTCTTTAGAAATCACACGTAAAATGAGTTAACCCTCCATTTTTTTGAACTGGTGAAGCCAGTTTCAATCTGTGAAAAGTCTGAATTTTTTTTAACCATACCTGCTTTCACAATTTTATTTGCAGCTCTGAGTATGAACACCTAACAAAGTGTATTTAACTAGCTGTGCTACATCATGCCCTTTAATGAGCAAAGATACTCTGTAAGGAGAGTCCATTACTGAAGAAAGAATGGTAGCTTTGCTGCAGCCTTATTCAATTCTCAAAAAATTATTTGGAAATCTAAAAAAATTTTTATGTTATGATTAAATAGTTAACTGATCACATACAGATACATGAAAAGCTGAATATGGAGAAAAGATTACCCCAAAAACTCGGTTGAGTGCTTTCACAAATTTCACACATAAGGAGTTCCTGTGGGCTTTTCCTTGTTCTGTTTTCTGGCAGTCTTTATCAGTCATCACAGGGGCCTCCAGATTTTGCCGCAAGTCAGGGTGTCGGCCTGAGGGAGACAGGGATAAAAGAAAACATCTTGTCGACAATTGTTCTTTAGTCCTCCATACAGCCATCCTCCATTTCAACTGGTGTCTTTTTGTGTGTATCTGAAGAAAATAAGAAATGAGAAAAAGGGAAGAAATGATCATGGGCATGATTACGAGAGCTCATCTCCAGGATTTTGAAATAGCCTTTATGTCTCTTTAAAAAGTAGAGTTTTCTTTCTACTCCATGACCTATCTTGGAGGAATAAGTGACCCGAGTCATGTTATCAGAGAGGTTCTTTACATGTAAGATGAACACGTATGGGGAGTAACACTACAGCCTCCTTCATGTGAATTGTGCTTCTGACATCCAGGAATGGTGTGGCCTTTGTGCAGAGTCAGATGAGCTGGTGGCTCCAGCTACCAAAGCCCTGCAGAGGCAGTGGAGTATTAGACACTATAGGAAAGGAGGAACTTTGTTCTTGGCAGACTACTCATGTAGCATCTCCCTTGGGTCTCCACACATTGTCCTGTCCGCCTCTCGTCTCACAGCTATGAGGTCATAGATGTTCTTCTTCAAAGATAACTGATGACCCTGATTTGCTGTGGGAGATACACTCACCACTGTTTTCTTGGCTCCAGTCCAAACCTGAAAGTAGACAGACAGTGCCTGGCTGGACATCCTTGGTGGCAAGGGGAATGAGCTGGACTTTGGAGTTGAGGACGGCAGGCTTAGCCAGCTTAATGAGCATGATGTCATCCTGTGGGGGACTGTGACTATAGTTCCAGTAGCGGATGACCTGGGTGGGGGTAATTGTCTGTTCTGTGCCATCTCTGATTCTGTTCCTGAAGTTTCCCAGCATCACTTTCAGATTTCTGGAGAGAGAAAAAGTTGGAAGTATCATCATCTATAACTATCATCATCATCGCTAAGATATTAAATGTTACAATGAGTTAGGTATTGTACCAAGTGCTTTGTCTGGATCATCTCATTTAACTCACAAGTCTATGCAGTAGATCTTATTTTTAATTCCTAGTATGCATGAAGTAATGGAGGCACATAGGAGTAATTCAACCATAGCTGCCCACCGGATAGTGAGTGGTGGAGCCCTTAACCGCTATGTTTTAATATAGTGCAGTGTGGTGCATATCAAAAAATATAATTTCCCCTTCTCTCTAGCCTATTCAATTGGGCAATATCTATTTTGATGAAGGCAGAAGGAGGAGGTGACTTGAGTCTTGGGTATCTCCTGTTTGGTTCACTAACTGATGTGCTAGCAAACCTCCTCTACCCTGCTCTGCACCTTTGGAAGGTGGCATATTTGGCTTCAATCAATGGGTTGTCTTGTCCTTTGACTTCCAACTGGATTTTGGTTAAAAGGAAGCACAAGAAGGTAACTGGAGGAACAGTGAGGTTGAAGTATTTATCCTCCCAGCTGCCCCCTCAGTGTTGTCTTGGATTGACTGTGTCCCTTGACCAAAGTTTACAATTCCTGTTAGGTAGTCTCTTCATATAGGTCTCTCTTTCCCTCCCTTGAAACCCCTCTCTTCCTCTTGCCCCTGTAGGCCTAGAGGTGGTAACACATTTTCTTAATACTAACCTTAGTGGTTCAGAACTATTATTTGGGGTTTCCCTTTCATGTCTTCATACCTTTGCAATTGGTTCCTTTATAAAACTCTCCTCAATTTACCCACTTTAAGTGCCTCATCAGTTACCTGCTAGGCCTTGATAAAATGCACTCATATTGCTAGTAAAAAAGGAAACAACTTGAAAAGATGGATGAGAGACTAAGGAGGTATGACATGTAGCACGAGGCTCCTCAACAGCAGCACTATTGATATTTTGGACTAGACAAGTCTTTATTGTGGAGTCTATGTAGTGCACTGTTGGGTGTTCAGAAGCATCTTTGTTCTGGCCTCTACCCACCAGATGCCATAGCACCAGCCTCTGGTTGTGACAACCAAAACTATCTTCAGACATTGCTAAATGTACCTGTGGAGAAAGTTACCCTCATTTGAAAACCTTGATCTAGAATGAATAGTAGCTACTTTAGAGGGTGGTGGTGCACAATACTCACGATAAATAGCAGTGAGCTGGGGCTAGCACCCAGTTGATTTTGATTAGAACACCCACACAGGGGTTGAAATGAGACTTGAGGTATACTACATAGGGAGAAGGATCTTCTTTCTGCACATATGAGTAAGCAAAGAAGTGTGTCCCTGAGAAAATAAAGACTGGTTTAAATACATAAATTTAGAACAAATAAAACAATCAACACTTTACTAGTTGGAAAGGAACAAGGATGATTTATCACAGAAACAAAGAACTGAGTTCCATATGTTCTCACTCATAAGGCGATCTTGAACAATTATAATGTGATAAGAAAGCAATTGGCAGTAGTGGAAAACTGTCAGGGAATGAGGGGTGGGATTGGCAGTTGAGAGGAACTGCTAGGGGAGGGAGAGCATACCTCATTAATAAGGGCATACTTCATCAACAAGGGTAACTGCATGATCAATGTTTGTATACCTAACCCTGAATTATGCCCCACATCTTTATAATAAATAAATAAATTAAAAAAGAAGTAACCAATTGGTCACGAAGTATGAATATATTTGACATTTTTTCTAATAAAAATATAAATTCAAATGACATACCATTTAATCTCATATTTATAATAATTTTCTGTTTGATATTGATAATATTTAAACTAAGAAAGAGTATAATAAACAAGACTCTCATTTACTGCTTGGTATTGATTCTATCTTCTTGAAAAGCATTTTAGAAATAGAAATTAAGATTTATAAAGGTTTATAACTGTGACTTAATCATTCCAACCCAAATAATCCATTCTAAAGAAAAAATCAGATATAGACAAATATTATGAATGAGTGTGCTCATTTTAACACCATTTTCAAAAGCTGAACATTGGAAACATAAGTGTCTAACAAAACAAATTAAGCACATGATTAGGTGGAGACACATGTATATTAAAATTGTATTTATAAAGAATATTGAACAACAAAAGAAAGATTAATCATGCCTATTTATATTAAAAATATCCATAAAAGATATAAATATGTATATAATGTAAACCAATTGTCTAAAAACAAGTAAAATTTATAGAGTACAGGAGCAAATTCAAAATGTTAGCATGTGTTGACTGAGAGGTGAGACTATGAATGATACATATTTTTTTCTGTTTTAAAAAATTTCCAGATTTTCTAATATGAACACATTATATAAATAAATTATTTAAAACATACCCTAGAGAATAAAAGGGAGGAGGGTTAATTCTAGTATGAGAAATAAAGTCCTATTCTTGTCTTGGCTGACCTCAATACTTCTGTTAACGGTCCCCAAGCCTGGGTCTGTAACTCACCACACCCTCCTGTGTGATCATATAGAAGCCCCAAGGGAAAAATAGTAGATCATTAATAAGGGCAAGAGACACTGAATTTTATATAGTGCACTGCTCTAAGTACTTTATATGAATTTATTTAATCTTCACAATAACTCTAGAATGTAGGTAGTAATACCCTCATTTTGAAGATCCAGAAGCACAGAAGGATTAATTAACTTGAGTGAAATGTGATATAATCAAGGCCATCAGGGAGTGGTGGGAAATGCCTCACTAGCAAATTCTGCCATCAGAAGAGCTCTATGGAAGGCAGGGACAGCACAAAGTAGGGCCCTAGCATTCGTTCTTTTGTTTCCACCTTCTCTATCCCCTGCATCTGAGTCTAAAGTTTTAGAAAAGGGGGATTATCAGAGGTCAAAACGAGTTCTCTGTCCTTTTGACCACTCTCTGGAATTTCCCAGGTGATGAGGCCCACATTTTTTTAAAGAACCAAGGTGGAGCTTACTGTTGAGCATTCTCTAAGGCAGGTGTGTTCCTTGACCCACTCCATAGCTTAGCACTAGAAGGGTGGGCTCAGCCTGTCCTGAGAGCCTTTGGATGTAAGATGGGAGACCCCTAATTCTGCTCATGACAGTGTTTCTTGGCTCTTCTGCACCCTTCACACATTCTGCCTCCGTCTCACTCCATGCTACATAAACTTATGCCTTATGGAACAGAGTGGAAGGTCTCAGATACATACCAGCAAGGACACCCAAATAAAAGAAGAATTTCATGGTGGTAGCTCACTCCTTGTGAGATGTAGAAAAATAGTCAGCAGAATATGGAGTCCTCAGCAGTTGTCTCCTCAGGAACACCTGGTGGAATCAGTGGATATGGTTAGGTTTGGGGACACTCCATGGGATTGGAAAGCAACTCTGGGCATAAAGAGGGAAGGGAGATGGCTCCAGATAGACAGATGTAAGTCATTCTGCTCCAGGGAAGGTGGCTGGGGTTTGGGGGATGGGGGGAACCGCGCCTCTCTGTTGGGGCCTTGCAGGGAAGGAAAATGAAGCTTAATTCTGTAGACTCCTGGATCCAGTCCTCCTATCTGCTGTTCCTAAAAGCACATCTGTGAGTTGGTAGTTCAGTTGTCCATGGAAAAGGGAGCTCTAACTCTTAGGACTTATCTTCCTCAAGGAGTTTCTGAGACCAGGGCTGTGGGGTCAGGATTTTTTACCTTAGCTCCGGAAGAGTGTCCTGAGGTTTGCTCTGAACCCCCTAGTAGTTACTTACACTGTCCCTTAGCCCCTCCCATCTTTGTTACACTAGCTTCATCTGTCCCTTTGATCACTATTTCATCACTCAGTCATCATCACCAACTTGGTCCTTGTTGTCCTGATCAACAGCTCTGAGCCAAGAAAATTTGGAAATGAAAAGCATTCATAGAATAGTTATCTTGATAGTTAGAGAATGGTTTACAGTCCAGATAACATTAGATCTAATGTCTGTTCAGTAAGAAGCACCTCTAAATGCTTTTTATCTAATTAATATATTTGTCAGCTAATAATAGAGTACCACAATCATCCTTGGAAGGTGGTGGCTGCCCAGCACTGCAGATGGCCTATTGCACAAAGGGGTATTGAAGTGTGTGGGACTTGGGGTGGGGACAGACTCCAGGTAAGGAAACATGCTCTGGTTTTATTTGAGACACCATAGTCATAAAGAATACTCCTCATGTGAGATGCCTGCCATTAATTTATTAATAAATAAGAGGAGCTGAAAGACTGTAACTTGTTGCACAGAGGCCCACATTTAGAAGGACCTCACACTTGATTTAACACTCAGCTGTCATGACCTTCAAATTCTTTTTTTTTTTTTTTTTTTGAGTTGGAGTCTCACTCTGTTGCTCAGACTGGAGTGCAGTGGCCACTCCTGGCCGCTGGAGCCTCGACCTGCTAGGCTCTGGTGATCCTTCCGCCTCAGCCTTCCAAGTAGCTGGAACTACAGGCGCGCACTACCACGCCCAGCTAATTTTTTGATTTATTGTAGAGATGAGGTCTCGCCAAGTTGCCCAGGCGGGTCTCGAACCTGCAGGCTCAGGCAATCCACTCATCTTAGCCTCCCAAGGCACGGGATTACAGGCTGAGCCACCGAGCCCGCTGACCTTCAAATTCTTAACTGTGTTTGCACAAAGTACTTGCCAATAATTCATGTTGCTGGTTCTTGACGCAGATTTTGTTTCAGATTCCACTTACTTTCTCATGTGTTATTCTCCTGGGGTCTGGATATCAGCATCTAATTAGGCTTAGGAGAGGACACAGAAACTAAAGTCAGAGCAAAGGGCCATTTGGTACTGTCACCTGCAAGCTGGAATCCAGCAAGTCATGAATGGGTTCCACATCTGTGCATGGGGCTTTTCTTGTCCAAGAGACAGAGAAGTATACAGCACAGAACCCTGGTGTCCAAGTCAGGGTCAGAATAGAAAGGGGAATTTTCCAGGTCAGAACTCAGGTGTTATAGGTTGACACTGTGATCAATGCAATGATAGTCCTTCTCCAATGAGGTACCACCTTTCCTCACTGGTGTGTGAACATGAAGCCTAGCCCAATTCTAATGGGAACTCAAAATAATTTCCTTAAAAATCACTAATTTTTGTCAAAACATCATTATAAAATAATTTTAGGTGAGTGAATGAGAAAATAAATTATTGAAAAGGAATTTTTGTAGAAACAACCTCTACCACCTGGAAAGACCTTTTTTTAAAAAAAAACATATTTTTTATAATAAAATTGTGGGGTACAGTTAAGGGTTAGGTATACAAATGTGCATCGTTCAGGTGCCCTTGTTAATAAGGGATGTCTCCCTGTCCCCAGACAGATATTAACTACCGTTAGTCCCACCTCCCTTCCCCTACCTACCCCCCCATAGTTTCCTACCACTGTCAGTCCTTTTTTAATAGTATTATGGTAGATGTTCAAGGTTCACTATATGAGTGAGAACATGTGATACTCAGATCTTTGTTTCTGTAAGAGATCACTCAGTATTATAGACTCTAGTTCCATCCAGGTTGTTGCGAAATTCATGATTTTGTTCTTTTTTTATGACTGCATAGTATTCCATCGTATATATGTACCACATTTTTTTAATCAGCCTCCCAAGTAGCAGGGACTACAGGTGCAAGCCACCTCACGCAACCCCAGTCTCAAAATGTTTTAAATTCCTTTTAAAGCAGGGAGTGTCCAGCATTGCTTCTCTTATAGGGTCATTTGCTTAATTCACAGCTATAATCCTATCTCTCACAACTACAGCTGTGCAGGAAAAAATTGCTTTAAGGAGTCATTAGACCTTGTTTTTCTTTCTTTTTTTGCAACATTTTGAGTTACTATGCATTAATTGAAGTACATGTTTGTCTGAAAAATCAGTTGGGACCACAGCAGCCATAGATTTTAAAAGATGCTATAAACAGATTGATTTATTTTCTTTTACATCCTGAGTAGATATTTCTGGTAACGTTTGATGGAAAATTTTACGATTCACTTAAAGGCCTTACCATGATTTTTTTTAGCTTCCGTTTTTGTTCCAGAACTTCTGGATCTTTAAGGCCAATTTAAGTTTCCCCAAAGTTAATACTGTGATTCTAAATCAGTTCATGTAAAATCTGCCACATTATTACATAAGTCGCATAAATTATGAGAGTGAAATATTTGGTTTATTGGAAGTTATGCTTCCCACATTTAAATTAGTCACCACAATTAATATAGAAGACACATGAAATTGATTCCTCTACTGCTAAAAGGCACATCTGAAATGATGTGCTGTAAACTGGTCTTAGTGTTTGTGACTCAGTGCATTGCTTTTCTCTTCTCATCAAATCACAGACAAGTAGACAATAGTGTAATATTGAAAGTTCACCTGTCAAAACTCCAGAATTATGGCAAAGTGTTTTTATGAAGACATTAGCCAGGAATGCACACACCTGCCAAGAATTATGACAATGTGGACAGACTAGCTAGCTAAAATAAATGACAGTACAGTGAGCTGAGTTATAGTAAATTTTCTAAGAAGAAACCCACTCCTGATGACCAGATCTACATACCAAGGCAGTCTCTGGAAGTTCACTGGGGTCAGCACTTGTAATGGTCAGGGCAATCTCAGAGGAGTTTGTAGACCTAGCAGTACATACACAAACATACCCGGAGAGCTAAATTTACTGAATAGTTTCCTGGGGGGGCTGGATAAACTTAAATGTTAGGAGGGGGTTTCATGGTGGTTATTCTTATTAAAATTGAAAGTTGGCATTTTAGACCAGATGGTATCAGTAGATGCTGTGGCTCAGTGTTCAGCAAACATTTTTTAAAAAGAGCCTGATGGCAAATATTTTAGGTTTTACAGACTTTATGGTCTGTGTTACAGCTACTCAACTTTGCCATTGTATTGTGGAAGCAGTCATAGACAGTATACAAAGGAATGAGTATCTGTGCTCCAGTAATATTTTACATGAAAAACAGCTGGCAGAACTGCTGTAGGTGGTTTATAAAACATGTCTCATTTTGTATTGATCAGAAAGAATCGGGTAGATTTAGAAAGACCTGGTGTGCTCAGAGATCGCAGTATTTTTTAAAAAAATCAGCTCCAAGAAGATAGAACCAATTGTAACAGAATAAGACATACAAATGTGATATCTCTTAGGCAATTGCTACTATAGATGAAATTTTTCCTTTTACAATAACTTGTAGAAAACCCAGAAAAGTAAGTCTTAGATTGATTTGGGTTACCAGGAGTAAAAAATCCTTTAGGGGATTGTAGGCCTACACCTTGTCTCTCTGCTTTTCTGTTGAATCCAGTTTTCTGGGAAGAGAATCCTCTTAAATATTTGTTTATGAAGGGAGAAGTGTTCAGTTTAATTTCGTACATGAATCTCTTTAACCTTTATTTTGTGCTGCCTCCCACATTTGGGAAAACCTCTAGGTGGGATGACTCCTAATTCAATCCATCACTTTTTTTTTGTAGGAAAAGTCACTAAAGGAATGTATAATAACTCGTTTGGTAAAAGCATGTGTTTGTGCATAATACTTATATCACTTTCCTTTCCTTTCCTCAAGAGTGGGAAGCTGGCAGAAAGCACTAGTAAATATTCCAGTTTCCTGAAATAGAATGGGAAAAAAAGTGGCTTTATTATATCACGCTCCGTGCCTATGACTTGGAAGGTAAAAGTGCAAGTCTACTTGCAGCAGAGTGTAGAGCTGACCCTGCCTGTGAGCTTTCTTGACTTTTTAGTCTGGCTGGTAGAGCTGGGTTTTCTGTGCTGCAGTAGAGCATATATGTGCCATTGTGCAATGGAAGGTGGGTCTGTGAAGGAAGTCTTTGTTGTGCCCCTCTGAAGAATTACTGACAGGCAAGTGTTATTGTCCACAAAGTATCTGTGGTGACTCTGACCAAGACTTTTTCTCTAGCAGAGCCCAGGAAAGAGCTCCAGCCCTGTCTCCCCTGCCTGGTGGCCTTTTCTATTCCACAACTCCTCCAACAGTATATGCTAAATGGTCACTCCTCACAGATCTTCCCAAGCTCGTCTGCAGGAAGCAATTTCCAAGGCAAAGTTCCAGGCTATTTGAGTGAAAAAGGAGACCACAGGGAGAGAGAAGGCCCTGACATCTCATTAAGGAGGACAAGGTCAAGCAGGATTTCAAGGACATTCTTCAGCCTATGTTAAGGTCGCCCCGTAGAATGGGTAGAAGGAAAGAGAAGAGGAGGAATAGGCCCTACCCTGGCCCAATAGATGAGCCCTGAACAGTAGGACACAATGTTAAGGGGAGTAGATGCCTCAGAATCTGGAGCAGAAGTATGAAAAATACAGACTAAGGCTTAGCAAAAGTCAAGCCTTTTCAGCCACCAAAAGCATCATGTCTGTCCTGAATGTGGGAGAGGCTTTTGCCAGAGATGAGATCTCATCA